AACCCAAGTTTTCATCTCAATTATCAAAGTTTTCCTTGTTCTGTCAACCATTTCAGACCCATTTGTCATTCTTGTAAATATGGGTATCCGATTTCTGGCAATAGGTCACGCCAAACAAATTCTCCGGCGGAGCCTTCTGATGAGAAATTTCTCTGTTCTAGCTACAACTACTGTCCCAAAAGGCCACTTCACTGTTTACGTCGGAGAGACTCAAAAGAAACGGTTTGTAGTCCCTATATCTTACTTGAACCATCCTTCATTCCAAGACTTGTTAAAGCGGGCTGAGGAAGAATTTGGGTTCGATCATCCAATGGGTGGTCTTACAATTCCTTGCAATGAAGACGACTTCATCAATCTCACATCTCATTTGAATTGTTCGAGAATGGTGGTGCAACAAAAGAAGCAGCATCGATCTCCCAGTGCTTCCAAAGTTGAAATACAGAGTTGAGGCATTCAGACCAATCTCTTCAATTTTGTAATGTGGGTTAATGCCAACTTACCCAATCTGATTTTTTCTCTGTAAATGGGTTGGGGCCTTAAAATGATTTATCCCCTAAGAGACCAATGTAAATTTCTCTTCTCCCTCTTATTAACTTCTTCTATTGAGTCTCTGAACACATTATCAAATTATCTAAATTAAATCAATTTTAACATAATAAGTCGTAATCAATGGGGCCTCCAGACCCAACACAATGCAAGCTCTGGTGGTAACAGCGATTCAATTAATCAGCCCGTTCGTTATCGTAGAGGTATGACTTGTCAAAACTCAATTACAAAACATCTTAGGGTGTCTATGCTCATAAAGACAGTAACGTTATATTGCAACTCAAAGTTCAGTGAAGAACTTCAGTACATATGCTCAAGTACCAGAGGCAAAAAGGAAAAAGTTGGATGATCATGGAGAAAAATGCATTTTCATTGGATACAGTGAGGAGTCCAAAGTTTACAAACTCTACAATCCACTTACCAATAAAGTGGTGGTGAGTAGAGATGTGATCTTCAATGAAGAAGACACATGGAAATGGAATACAGAAGAAACAATCAAAGAAAAATAGTATGGGATAGGAGAGAAATAAGCAGAGTACCAAGATCAAAATCACAAAAATTTGCAGCAAAACTATCTCAACACCAGCTCCACGTGCAACATCATCTATAGTTCAGAGAAGTCCAGAAGCAAAATATACAACCACTGTAGGCATTTCATCGGCTCAAAACTCAATCAGCCCTTCCTCACTTGTAAGTCCAATCACAATGAGCCTGAGAGAAAGTTATGAGCAAACTGAATACAATGAAGAATTGTATATTCTTTGCCTGCCACTTGTTTTTCAACAAGTTGTGAAAGAAAATTGTTGGAGATCTGCCATGAAAGAAGAGATTCACACTATTCAAAAGATAGCACATGGGATTTAACCACACGTCCTCAAGGCCAAATAACTATCGGTATTAAATGGGTTTACAAAATCAAGCGCACGGCCAATGGATTATGGGAACTAGAGGAACTTGGGGGTATCCTCAGGGCTGACATTCAGTTAGTTGCTACCTCTCCTGAATTGATGCAGCCCAAGATGCAGGGCTTAAAAAGTAACTCCATAGCTACTTTTTAAAGTAGAAGTTTTTACCCCTAAAATTTCTAAAATGTAGACATGCAATTAACATTCAACTTGACAATCAAAAGTTCAACTAAGCATAATTTTCAAATAAGCACTTCTTTTTAGACTAGTGTTTCCATACGCCACCTAAGAGACATTTGAATGATCGATTAAGCATCAGTTAAGTTATTTTCAAATATCCGAGCAAAGTTCTATCTTAGTCTCCATCTCTCTCTTGTCAATTTTTTTGGCTTCACAGGGAGTGTCTGTAGGCACCTGAAGTTTACATAGTGGTCTCTGACTCTCCTGAAGACTGGAGATGGGAACCTTAACCAATTCTTAATCACCACAAAGCATCACTTTAATATTAAACACTTATCGTCAAGAAACATTCAACTGTCTTTCAAATACCTGTCTTGTTCATTGATTGACCATGATTCACGTAGTTGCACTAATAGTGCTTGCGGTCATCGCTTGTTTTCTGGACAATGATTTCATAGGCACATGTGGTGGGTCTACGTCTAGGCCATCAATTGGTAAATGGATAAGAGAGAGAGAGAGAGTGGGATGCTTGGGCAGGTATGGGCATTACAAATAAACAACAAAAAGGCCAGTTCAATATGCCTTTAAATAACAAAAAAAAAAACATGAATCTTGATGTGTTTTCTCATGAAAATGAAGATCCCTTGATGCAAAGACATGTCCAAAATATGAAAAGATTATTCATCTGTGGAAAAAAATTGGTGGGCGATTAGCTATTTATAATGTCAAGTGTCCAATCCTTTTTTTTTTCTAGTCACTGGAAAAAATCAATTAATAAGTTTTTGGTCCTCATTGAATTTCACAATTGGGCATGTTTTCAGAGAAGCTACTACTATTGCTGATCATTTGGCTAATTTGGCTTGTGCTTGTCAAGACGGTGGTAGTTTTAACTCTATTTCTGAGCTGCCTTCTCAAGTTTGTGGAGCTATTAAATTGAATAAACTGAGGTTTGGAAATATTCAGATTAGATCATTCTTGCAATCACTTTGTTTTCATGGGATTTTGTTTAATGTCCCCTCCTCCTCTTTTTCTTGTAAGCTCTTTTTTCTCTATCTAATAAACAGGTAGGGGTCCGCCCACCTTCTTCTTCTTCTTCTCCAGGCGGCATTTTTGTTCCTCTGTTAGGCCAACTTTGGCTTGTGATGTGCTTATTCAGGAGAAAATTACATGTTTTGTTATGGTGAAATTGATCCCACCATAATGTGGTGGGTACCATATCATTGAAATTAGGATGGTCCGGCAGGGGGCATGTCCCTCAGCACATCCCCTGCAAAACTATCACCCTCACCACACTCTATTTGAGATCTTCTCTGAATTTCCACATTCTTAAGAAGAAGAGTAACAGTGCTAGTTTCTCTTTTCTTTCTGTCAAGATTAGTGGAAGAATAAACTATCCTTGTACCACCAGAGTGGATAGTTTTAAGTAATAAGATTGCCTTTCAGCCTCAATTTGGCTGTGTTACTTCCCCATTGGGATGAAATTATGTGAGATAATCACATCACCCCTCCTCAGCAAGGCGATCTCTTCTTTTAATGTTTATGCTAGCACCGCCTGCATGGCCTACTAAGTTGTCTTTATCTTGTCTCAAACTTCTTCGAGATTACGATGCTTCTAATGTGGTAGCACAAACAACACATTTTTTCCTTTCTTAATTTATATTCCAATTTCTTCGCATGTTTTGGAGTATTCTTAAGGGTAAAGGCCCAGCCAGGATGACAAGATTTAAGGCCTTTATTTGGCTTCTCACCAAATTCTTTCTTGATCCGCATTAGTGTTCAGTAATGCCATACTTGCCTCAAGTAATAGGATGTCCGCATCAGAATCACCTTTCGCCTCTCCTCAGACAAGATCAGACTTTGGAGATATCGATCCCAGCAGCCTACGTCAAAGTAGGCCACCAACTAATCATGATATATACAGCATACCCATTGATTTTAACTATAGCAACAACAAATTACAATTCTACATTAGATTCAAAAGCTTAAAAAGATGAAGAGTTTCAAATTCATACATGAATTCATTACACTTTTCCCATTATTTTTAAAGTTTGGTAGTTGGCTCAAGGTCGTATCATCTTCACATTGCATTTGTCTGTAAACCAACAACAGCACATGGATCCGTTGCTCTTTGTTCTGTAACGTACCAGTGTCTGTTTTCAGGCGCTACTATTAATTGCAGCCTAATTTGGACAGTGACTTTGAACGAACATGTCGGGCTGCTGAAACATAGGCTGGTAGATGGATAATTACATGAGCAAAGCCATGTGATCCTTAATGAGGCGGGTCTCTCATCAGACCCAATTGCCAATCTCCTGACCACAGACTCCATTGGAAAGGATTGGCATCCCTCTCTCTATAAATAATCAGGGACTAACCCAGCCTTCCCAACACCCAAGTCATCACCCACATCCTCTTGAGGTTAAAACTTTCATTTTCCTGTTCTATCAAAGCCAATTGAATCCACTAGTGGTCCTCTTTGCTCCAAGGACAGTCATGGGTATTCGTTTACCTTCAATGGCTCTTCATGCTAAGCAGATTCTCAAACTACAGTCTCTTTTTACTAGAAACCAGTTATCTCAGGCAGGAACTACAGCAGATGTCCGAAAAGGCCACGTTGCAGTTTATGTGGGAGAGAACCAGAAGAAGCGATTTGTGGTACCTATATCCTTCTTGAACCATCCATCATTCCAAGACTTGCTAAGTCTGGCGGAGGAAGAGTTTGGATATGATCATCCCATGGGTGGTCTCACAATTCCATGCAAAGAAGCCGCCTTCGTCAATCTAACTTCTCGTTTGAATGCATTATGAGAGAGGAGGAATAACAAATGGAGCAGCAAAATGGCTACCCAAGAAAACATGAAGACATCCTTGCCTTTTTTTCCTCTTTCCATTACCATAGTTTTGAGAGTTGAAGGCAAGGTTGGCTAACCTACCTTTTAAGTAGTCAGTCTTCAATTAGCCTAAATCCAGTCTATGCAATTTTGAGAAGGGTTGTTCTCACCCCATGTATATTTCTTCTTTTTTTCCATTCAATAGAAAATTTTGCTTTTCTGAAATTTAGGTGATCTATCTTATGACTATGATTGTCCTCTAAAACTCTCCCAATCAGTCTCTTTGGCTCTAATTTGAAACTTTTAACCAGGGGTTGTAATGGAATGACATGGTCAAATTTTCAAAACCCCAAGACCTGAATACCTGATTTATAAGTGGTTGAAATCGCGATCCTGTACCCAACCCAGTGATGAACCCCTCACTTTTAACCTGCTCGACTAACTCGTCTAAATATATAAATTAGTTACATTTTAAATTATAATAATACTTTTCAATCGTTACTTTATGCGTAACAAAGTAATTATACTTCTACAATTTGGAGAGATGGCTGAGTGGACTAAAGCAGCAGATTACTAAATTCACTGTACAACTTATGACTAGTTACTTGTAGCGAGGGTTCGAATCCCTCTCTTTCTGTTTTTGCGGATGACTTGAAATTTGTATTTGGGGAATTTGATTGCTTGGGTCAGTAATTGCTACCCTTACTTTTTTTTTAATTGTATTGGATTGAGGGATTGAAAAGTAACAAATTGGAAATGAATTTCTTGCAGTCCTGCTGCAAAAGTTGAATAGCTACTAATCTGGATCTTGTAAGTGTTTCTACATTTATGTATTGCATACTAAATTATGTAACCATAACAGGGGATAGGGAGTCACATTGTAGTGTGAGTTTGACCAGCTAAAAGAACTCCTTGATTAGTCTCCTATAATATGGACCAATTAACTAACCAAGATCAGACAGAGAGGCATCACTGTCAAAATTTTGTTAAATGACACAATCCAAACAGTGGTCTGTACTGGATCTCACACCTGAACCAACATTAAATGTCTGTTGAGCTGTAATTTAAGCTTACAAGATTGTGTCTTCACATAATAGGAACTTGGGGTGTAAGCTTTGACATTCAGTTATATAGTGATTTCGATTCTCCTGTAGACTGGAGATGAGAAACATAACCAAATCTCAGTAATCATAAAGCACCATTTTAAAATAGAAACCTTTACAGTAAGAAGCATTCAATAATCTCTAACCGTATTTTTATTTTTTTACCTTTCTCAGTGGGTTGATTTGTAACACTGTCTCTATTATGTAACTCTAGGAAACGTTCCATATTCTTACAGAGAATTACATTGTCAGCTTTGAGCTGCAAACTCATTGGTGTTGTCTCTTGATGTTTGCTTGTGATGCTTAGAAGAAATTCTGCATCCATGAGATATGTCAATAGTAGACACATTCACCCTCTCCATATTGATCTCTGTTCATATGACCATTAGGCATTAGAGAAGATGTTAAACCATAACTTACTGTGGGAATATCTAGTTAATGAAACATCGTATCCTCCACAAGAGGGATATTTTCGTTGGATCCTCATAATTTTCAAAATATAAATCACCTTTTTCACCATATTTGAAATGTGGGAAAACATTATATTTCCTGGTTTGGGAAATGGTGAAATAGAATTGTGATTCCATTAGTGGACCGAGATGGAGCTAACTCTCCTGATTTCCAGCATTAGCATCAAGTAAGTGGAACATCTGAATGACAAACTGCTCTTTCTCTCCAAAACATAGACAAGATTGGATTTTGGAGACATCTATAGTGAAAGCTGGCCAGCTTCTGAGAGGGAAAAAATGCCAATAATCAAACATTGTACCCTTAGAAGTTTTGAGGAGGTGACACAGTGATGCTTTTATATGCCTAATCCAACTGCAGATGAGATAGTTTAGCCAATTTCCATTGATGCTGTTCTCTCTGAGTAAACGATCGACCGGCTGGGTCTAATGTCTCCATGTATTGTTGTACTGTAATGCTTTTATAAATGAGGAAAATCATGATTGACCATGCCATGTTGGATTCATACCACTATCTGGTTATCTGGCTTTCCCAGAATTTACTACCCTTAGTCTTTTCCTTTTCTTTTCTAGTTTGGTAGTTGGCCCAAGCTTGTATCATCTTCACATTGCATTTGTCTGTAAATCAACAACAGCACATGGATCCATTGCCCTTTGTTTTCTAATGTACGATCGTCTGTTAAATTTGGACAGTGACTTCAAATGATATGTTGGACCGCTGAAAGATAGGCCGGTGGATGGATAATTAGTAATTACATGAGCAAAGCCATGTGATTCTTGATGAGGTAGGTCCCTCAGCAGACCCAATTGCCAATCTTCATACCACAGACTCCATTGCAAAGGATTGCCATCCTTCTTTATAAATACAAAGGCACTAAACCAGCCTTCCCAACATCCAAGTCTTCACCCACATCCTCTCAAGTGTCTAAGCTTTCAGTTTCTTGTTCTATCAAATCCAGATTCATTTGTGATCACCATTCACAAACTTCAACGACAGTCATGGGTATCCGTTTACCTTCGCTGGCTCTTCATGCTAAGCAAATTCTCAAACTACAGTCTCTTCTTACTAGAAACCAGTTGTCTCGGGCAGCAACTACAGCAGATGTCCCAAAAGGCCACTTTGCAGTTTACGTGGGAGAGAACCAGAAAAGGTGATTTGTGGTACCGATATCCTTCTTGAACCATCCATCATTCCAAGACTTGTTGACTCAGGCCGAGGAAGAGTTTGGGTATGATCATCCCATGGGTGGTCTCACAATTCCATGCAAAGAAGCCGCCTTCATCGATCTAACTTCCTTTTTGAATGCATTATGAGAGAGGAGGAAAAACAAAAGTAGCAGCAAATTGACTCCAAGAAAATATGGAGACATTCTTGGATTTTTTTTCTCTCTTTCCATTACCATAGTTTGGGGAGTTGAAGGCAAGGTCTGTTGACCTACTTAATCCAGTCTCTGAAATTTTGAGAGGGTTGTTCTCAACCCATATAAATTATTTCATTTTTTTCCCTGTAAATGAGTGGGCAGAATGAGCAAAAAAAAAGGCTCTCATTAAAACAACATCAGATAAAATTCTTGATTTTCTAAATTTAAGTGATCTATCTGATGCTATTATTGTCCTCTAAAGCTCTCCCAGATCAGTCTCTTTGACTTTAATTTGAATCTTCTAACCAGGGGTTCTAACAGGTGGGCGGTTAAGAAAATGACTTTTCAGTTATTGCCCACCATTACTTTCTTTTAACGCTATTGACACAGATTCAGGTCCTAACGCCTTTGGATATTGTTTCAGGCTCTAACGCCTTCGGATATCATTTCAGGCTCTAACGCCTTTGGATACTATTTCGAGCTCTAACGTCTTTGGATGCTGTTTCAGGCTTTAATGTCTTTGATGTTGATTCAGGCTTCAACACCTTCGGATATTCTATATGGCTTCAGTGCCTCTTTCTGGCTTTCAACGCCTTTCTCATGATGATGGGCGTGGTATGGATTAGTACCCTCCTTGTATACCTTTCTGATGACTTCTGCCAGAAAGAAGATTTGTTTTGTCAGGGGTGAACGGTATGGATTGGTACCTCCCCGTGGGAATGAGTGTGGCTGTTTCCCCTCATTACCTATTCCAGTGAAGCATGGATTACTTCCTGGGCTGACAGTCAAGGAGAAAGCATTGAGGATGGATTTTTCCTCAGTTTCTCTTAAGGCCTGACGGGATGGGTGTCTTCGTCCAACACCTACGATTTCCCTATTGGACTTGAGATAAGGGATGGGTGTCTTCGTCCAACACCTAGATTTCCCTATTGGACTTGAGATAAGGGATGGGTGTCTTCGTCCAGCACCTACGCTTTCCCTATTGGACTTGAGATGATTATTATCATTATTATTATTATTATTGCTATCATGATTATTACTTTAGAGGAGTGTTGCTGTCTGAACACTAATATATTACCTCAGTAGGACAGTACACCATGAAAGCGTATGACCCGCTTTCACGATGTAGTTACCGATTGCTTTTGGGGGAGGATGATGAGTTGTGGTTTGGAGGGCTTAGATAGAATTTGTTAAAAGATGGATATTGTGAATACCGCTTTTAACCTTTGAAGAATATATCTGAAAGCTTTAGTCATAAAAGCTTAAAGGAGGTATGGTAACAAAACGCCTTTATCTTGATGGAATCTAATATTTTTCTCTCTAAAAATCGGTTACAAAAACGATTATGACAGCTGTACAAGTTAGTTACGATCTCAATGTACTGGCTTAAGGGATTGAAAAGTAAGACATAGGAACTAAAGTTCTTGCATTCCTGCTGCAAAAGTTGAGTAGCTAGTAATCAGGGGACCTGATAAGTGTTTTTAAATTTAAATATTATACCCTGAATTGAGGGACCATAACAGTGGGTAGGGATTAACCTAGTAGCGTCTGACTGCATCACTGACTGGAACCAATTAATCTAAATGAAATCCTTGTTACTCTTCTTTAATCTAGACCAATTAAATAAGCAAGGTCAGAAACCCAGAGAGACATCACAGTCAAAATTATGTAAAATGCCGCAAGCCAAACAGTTTCCTGTTCTGGAGCTCATGCTTGAATTGACATAAACTGTAGATTAAGCTGTAATTTAAGCTTGAAAGATTATGTGCCTTCACATTGTAGGAACTATATAGTGGAACTTGGGGTTCCCCAGCTTTGTCATTCAGTTAGTGGCAACCTATCAAAAAGGATGCATCTTTAGGCACCTGAAGCTTATATAGAGATTTCGATTCTCCTGATGGCTGGAGATGAAAAACATACCCAGCTCTAGTCTGTTGTGCGAAAGCATGCAAATAGAGTGAAATGAATCTAAACTAAACAGTAAAAAAATCAAAGCGAATCGAAGCAAAAACAAACCATAAGAGAGACACAATTTACGTGGTTCAGCAAGATGCCTACGTCCACGGGCAGGCTCTCCTTCTATATATGAAATAAAACCCTAAAACATCCCTTTTATATTAGAGTTACAATAAATGGTTAAAATACCCAAAACAGGTCGGGTCATTAAATGGGTCAAAATTTCGGGCCCACACAGTGTCCATTAATCGGGTCATCCGGGTTTTCAATGGGTCATCATGAATCCGGGTTGAATTCATAACAACTTTCCAACACAGTCATCATAAGGCAGGCATCAAACCTCAACAGTAGGAAACATTCAGTTGTCTTTAACTGTATTTGTCTTTGTTTTACCCATTTGGGGAGGATCACTTTTTTTTGGGGGGGGGGGGGACGATGTCTTGATTTGTAATACGGTCACTATGTTTGTAACAGTAGGAAATGTACCAGGTTTTTTCAATAGGAAAAATTGAGTTGCAAACTTCAGCTAATAACTTTCTATCTGGTGCACCTGCATAGTTTGAAGGTTGTGCTCTTTCATTTTGGAAACTGATGTGCAAAAAGTTTGCCTTCAGCTACTAATCCAGTGCCTACGAATCCCATTTCAAATAATTGAAGAATAATGGTCCTTGTACCACCAGATTGAGATATCAATGCTTCTAATGTGGTAATACAAACAACACATTTCTTCATTGCTTAATTTATCTTCCA